ATTGGTCAGTTTTATAAGACAATTGGAATGACGCAACAAGTAATGAACATTTCAGTTTATTAACAAGTCAACGCTACCACGGTGCCCAAGTATTACTCCCACATTATCTATGACATTTTTTAAGGATCTTTTCGTTTTCATATTGTAGCGTGATAGGAATCATGTCCTTCTTACCGGTGCTACGCTCTGACTAAACATGTTTGGAAAACTTCTGTATTTTGTCAACCTTAAGAATACTAACTTCGATAATCCAATAATCAAAAGAAGGTCTGTTATTTAAGCGTCGCATTCTCTTTTATTGATGATTTCTTTTTTGCATCAATTAACTGCCTTAAATTTTTGTACTCAACCAAGTGAAGTAGGCATATTCAAGTGTTAGTATTTCGTCGTCTAGCAAATTAGAAGTTTTCACTTCACATTTTAGTCAATCTGACAGTGTACATTAGCAAATGCAGTGGCTCAGCGTTTGCTCATGGAAATTTAGTAAACCAATTCTACAATTTTATCAACAAATACTCATTATTCGTCTGAATTCATACAAGAAATAGCTCATCCTTAAATCACATAGCCATTGCACTCAGTCATAATAAGACGTGTCAGATTTATATCCAGTAGAACCTAATTTTCCTTCGAAACTTTTCATGCCAAGCATTCTTACTCTTCATCATTGTAAACTAATACAGACATGGACATTGTAAGTGTCCCAGTAATATTGGTAGATCTTACAGGAGATTTCTGCATTTTACTTTTCTCTTAACTCCGTAATCTCTATATGATTTAGTTCATTAGACCATTAGTCACAGCTGTTGCATATAGGGTTGATGATATTGTCAGGTTACTGAAACTTTGAGAAGTGTGCCGAAATAATACCCTTTTATTAAGAGTTGAACACCTAAATTCATGAATAACACTGCTATTTGTCAAACTCTATTACTGTCATTCTCAGCTGACAACCATGTGATTATTTAATGCTATATTACTGATTCACTAGTGTATAATTTGTATTTCATTTTAGTCGTCCATTAACTTTTTGTTGGTACTATGATAAATACTCACCTGCTTATTAATCTTAGTCTTATCTTAATCAATATAGACCTGCACTGTTACTCATTATTTTTTAGGTATTCAAGTTCTGAATAGTCAAAAGAGTTTTCTAAGCTCTATCAGCTGTGAGGTGAATGACACACTTTCTTGAATAAACTGATTTTCAATTCACTGAGATTTCGTCCTTAAGGTAGTAAAGTCTAACATCCGTAAGTGGTTCATCTGTCTAAAATCATCCTTACTCAACATACATAACAAGTTTTAATTATTCATGGTATTAAGAACAGCATCACTCTATGGTAAGATAAATGTACTTCTGTGGAAGTAAAATTTAAGTATGACTATTATTCGCCTTTTTAAACATTTAATGAAAAAGAAATAAACCAAGAAGAGGAGGAAGTTTGTCATGGTACTTTTGTCTACTGGGTTATACTTTCTGGTCTATCAACAAAATGCCTTGTAAAGAACATTATCTTACATAGAACCGATATCAAGACATAATTAATAACAACCCATGAAGTCATTGATTTATGTTGAAGAGTTTATATCCTTCAATTGTGGTACTCCGAGGATTAGGAATCATTATTGAAAGATAATTCAATGAAGGAAATTTCTTCTCGACTAATCGTTTTCAAAAGCTGTACATCATAATCATAGTTCCAACAGTAGCTAATGGATCAGTATGAAGTCATGAAAAAGGTCAATAAAGTCACAACGTGATACTAGAGGGTCAACTCAAGGTCATCAAAAATGGCTGATAGGGTTATCACAAATAAATAAATAAAGGAATAAACTATCTTCAGGAGATTACGACTGGGGCGAAATTAAAGATATAATGTACCTCTTTTGAACACAAAGATCAGGCATGTACAGGTGAATTGCCAAAGTATCTGCTGTGTTGAAGTGGCGAATGCACACTCCCTTTAAAATGTTTGACTTCACTTTAGAAATGAATCTACTCAAGTCTTTCGGTTCACTTCATTCAAATGTGAAACCCAGTTGTAAACATTAAACACTGGATGGAATCCATTTCTTGAATTTAGTATCAAACAGCCAAATATGGTTTTATGTTACATAGCATTTTTACACAAGGTTACTCAAACCCATCAGTATTTAAATTGAATGGTTTTTGTCCCATTACTTGTAAAAGAAGTCTAGCCGAGACTGTATTACTTAAGGGCGACTAGACTATGTTCTGAGTAAGTCATCGAGAATGAATTGGAAAATACGCAAAAAACTATGTTGGATAGAGCATATCCCATAAAGTTCGTCAATAAATACTTTGAACCAAAAAAATCAGAAGTCGATTGAAACAACCGTGTCGAAAAAGAGCGTACTCATTAGACTATCATTTGAAGGCGATGAACACATCCTCGATACGAGACATGTCGTCCACTCAGATATAGCTTTCAAAATAATCAATAAACAAGGAAATAGTAGATGGCTGCACTATGCATCAAACAGCAGCAATCCATCAACTGAAACCGAACTTATGTGTACAAAAAGAGTTTGTTGCTTACCTTATATTGCCTTGGTGAATTTTTCCTTCCCTATAGCTTTATTCACTATTTTATTTTCTGTAACGCTGTTAGAAGAGGAAGGTTATCTGAAAAATGTGATGACATGTCTAACAATCTGATCACACATTTACTTTTCAAGTCAATTGACACATGAAAATGAAAGGTCAAATATAATGAATATGAAAAGGTTGTAATATAATCAGATAGACATTACCAAGGTAGATTAAGCGAAACAACCTTTCGTATTCATTGTATTTGACCTTTCGTTTTCATGTATCAGTGGACTTGACAAGTAAATATGTGATCAGATTGTTCGAAATGCATTGCTCAAATACATCACATTTTTCAGATAATCTTCTTCTTCTAATAGTGTTATCGAAATGAATATATTGATCATTCCACGTTTGTTTTTTGTAAATCGATTTCTATGTGGAATCATCATGTACTTTTCTCAGTAGAACGTACAAGAAGTGGAATTCTGAGTTATTCTCCTTTTCTATGGTAGATTTATGAAAAAGATGTAGTCAGCACAGTTTAAAATCGATCCAATTAACTCATACATCTTCAATACTTGTTTTCTTGTTACTCTTCATTAAATTACTCCCACTTTACTTTCAATCTTTTTATTAACTTATTTGGTTTTCTCTCTTCCCGCCTTTGAGAAGTATAGCAAATTCAACTGATACTAAACAGTGCAAAGTTATATGTTGTTTTCAGTCACTCTGTTTTTATTTGTTTGTTACATGTATGTACTGATATTTTTGATTTGCATTTTCCGAGAGATAGTTAACCTAACTTGAAAGTCAGAAATGTTTATCAGGTGATAGAGGTTTATGTTCATACAGTCCAATACTTCCTTTGTTAAAACTGTTTCAACATATGGGGGAAACGTCTTGCCTTCTTTGATGACTTCGTAACGACAACGTGCATTATTTGATTAAAATAGTCAAGTTGTGCATTGTATGTCAGTTGTCAGTGAGTATTTTCCTAAAAGTAACGTTCTAAATATAGGGGGCAATAATTTAGTAATGAAAGTCGATACGTTCTATGATTTGGTTCACGACGAACTACCTTAAAATCGTTCTAGCTATCCAACCACATTAGAAAGCCTTCAGGTATAAGGTAAGCGTTTCCATTTAGTTTAGTAATCCACAACTGTAAAAGTTCTTAACTTCATAAGCAGTCTATGTATGAACACCTTCAGATCCTATAACAGTGACGTGAATAATATATCTTAGGCTTAGAATTCAACTCCAGACACTTCTTAACTTCTTGGTTGTGCTATTTTCTACGAGGTGGCCGGTCCAATCATGAAGCTTTCATCATCTTTCTAGACAACATCATCAGCACTAACTTCAGTACGGAACGACCTGTCAGTAGCTATCAATCAGTGACTCAGTAGCTTGACTTGATGAGCCGGTATATAATTGGTTGTCTTCTTTGATTGCTGTCATTGACTATATATGTTTTTTTTAATTACTGAGACTCGGACGTAGTATACATCGCTTCAAACGCCTTATCCACTGGACCACCGGAGATGATAGCCACCTCTTATGCAACAGGTATCAGTTGTTGTTCGGATACATGTAACTCCCCGTTGCTGTACAGAGTCGAATCGCTCGACCTCCTCGGGATTCTAGTGCTACCCACCAAAAAGACATCAATACTATGCAGGTAGTTCAGATGTCAAGACAGATAACGTTATTTAACAGTAAAATCAGCTTAAGACACCAGCCTCAGGTGTGTAAACACGACTTATGCATGATATTTAAACAGTTTTTGACTCATTTTTTGTTCACCTGCTATAGCAGATAGGAGAGTAAGGATGATCAGTTTATGACTTGAAAATAAGCTATGAAGGATGGTTGTAACAGATTAAGATACTTTTCATGGATTACAACTACCTAGATTTAATCCAGAAAACAGTCAGGCTCATTAGGTGAAGGCATCATCGAAAATGTATCTGAAATAAAATGACTGTCAATCATTAGGCAGTTTCTTTAAGTCTTTTACTTATGAACAGCAGTGCATTTGTTCTATTTAAATGTTCATTCTTTAATAAGTCTGTAATTCCGTAGCTCTGTTTCTTAATAAATGCACACGATATTGTTCTGTTACGTTATCTGAATCATTTCTTGGTGGTCATTCCCACCAAATATGTGTTAAGTTGGATGATTATATTTTTTTAACGAGTTCACGAGAACAAAAGGACGATAACTGAAGTTCATGGAATCCAGAATCGAGCCAACAGCTGTAATAGTATCTTCCTAATTACTGGTCAGGAGGTGTTTTAACTTCTGCCACGAGCAGTGTTTCCCATCAACTTCAGCAAGTATCCCTGACGATGAAAATCATTCTATCAAATATAGCTATTTTAGTTAAATTCAGTAAAACGTTTTGACTAATTAAAATGGAAACAAATTTCTTTTATTCCAGTTTTTTACGCCATTTGGACAATATTTGTATTCATGGGATATCAAGACGACAAGAGCACGCAATGCTTTTCCAACATACATTGCAGTTTATCATAATACGAAGAATGCTGATCAAAAACAGTACCAAACAATTCAGAAACCGTTTGAATTACATCAAACTACCAGTGATAATAATAATAATAATCTACGTAGCAAGATGAATGATAATTTGGATTTCAGCCCAGCTAATGTAGAATGGAATACCACTGATGAACTGAATTCAGGCTTAGTTGTCGTTTTAAGAAAACCAACGCCAGGGATACAAATATATTCACTTACAGGTGTCTATCTCAGAGAATTTGGTATAGATTTGATATCGCCGAGATGCGTCATCACGGACTGTGATGGACGAATCATAATTGTTGAAAGTCATGTAAGTCTCATGCTTTTTGAACACCTGATGTGCAATTTTGCTCTATAAAAGTAGTATTTATTAAAAGCATGCATTCTGGTGCATCATATTGCACTGAATTTATTTTTACGTGAGCTGAATGCAGAGTAACAAGTGGTTTTTCAACAACAAAAACAACAGCAAAAAAGACAACATCCAACACCCCATATACGGTGGTAGTAAATATGTAGCCTACCTACTTCTCTTTACAAGTTTGTAGATAAACTAAACAAGTTGATGACAATGTCCCGAGTGACTTTAAAGGTCACTCTAGCAACTGCTAAGATAGTCAGCTGCTTTTGTCTATTTTATGAAAAACTTCTTTTCTAGCAGGAATACTAAAACCTGATCGGTTATTTCAGCAGTTGCTAGGGCAGCCTTTAAAGTCACTCCAATACCTCTGCTTTTTAACTATTAGTAACTTAAGTTTCATTATTTTACACTGCAGGGATTTTCTTGAGGTTGTACATGTGCTTTGTTCATGAATCCCAACAAGCATAGCATACAAATACAGGACTATCTATACATCAGTTTCAAGAACAATCTCCTAGTAAATTTTGGTTACCACTAAGAAGTAAACAACACTACATTGCTTTCTTATATGTGAATTGAATACTTTGATTTGCTGATTAATTCCATGCTCCATGAAGAGTTTTATGATTTTCCGGTCTGATATCTGAAAAGGAAATAAATACCTATTCATTTAGCTTTTCAGAAAAGAATCGAACGATGACTGTGTACCATTCTCATTTCCACAAACTGGTCAATTGATTACACGTTATGTTCAAAAGTTCCACAAAAAATAAGCGTAAAATAATTCAGTTTTCAAATTGTTAAGCTTTGATGTCATTGACTTATTGAAGATGAAGAGCACAGTAATACGCATTTTTATCTGCAGTATGAACACCTTTAAATCTCTAAGCTATACAGCTCCAAGGATAACACTGATTAATTTTGTTTCAAGCGAGTGAAAAGAATATTCTGTGTTTAAATGAAGCCGATATGACTGGCGAACGATTATGCTTGCTTCCTTGACAACATTGTCGGTACCAAACAGTTAATAACTTTTAAGCTAAAGATTTTGCTATTGGGTAATCTCACAATTTGGCCGCTTCAACCCGATTCATTTTCATCAAGGAGGTAAACTCATATATTCATTGACAGCTGGATAGATGTTTTTCTTCTCCAATTCACTTCAATTTAAAATGACTTGAGAGGACCTTGTTGAACTGCTAATAGGTAGATGAATGGAGAGTAACATAGTATCTGTATAATAACCAGACAGTATTTTGTGTCATTGGATTGTAAATGATATGTAGAGAGTATTTAGGTCTAGTGAGTTGATGAGCAGGATGCTGGGCAGATAACCCATGGGTCATTAGTGAGAATCCTGCTGTGACCCAGATTTTCTTTATAACTTGAATTATCACCCGACCGTATTAGGGCCAGTCCTTAAAACTAACACCATTATAAATATTGAAATCAATTATATCAGGTATGTTTCACTAACCACCCATCCGCAGAAACTATAAAAGACATCTTGATCACACCAAAAGACACTGTCATCAGCATTGAACGTTAGGTACATATGTGTTTACTCCCGAAAGCATATATATATATATATATATATATATATATATATATATATATATATATATATATATATATATCCAAGCATCTGGAAGCTGTTGTTATTCATTAGGACAGGCCAACCCTGTATAGTAAGAGAACTTTGTCCTACTTTTTTCTTTACACCGACCTTATTCATGGTCTAAGCAAATATTGATAAACTACATAATAAAACATCCTTCTACCTACCTATATTAAAGATACCCCCCCCCATTCTCTTATTACTCTTGTGTAGTTCATATCAACCGCTGAGCACTTGAAATCACTTTTCACTATTGTTATGTAACACATTAAGTATAAGCATTTTTTAAATTTGACAATTTTGTGATATACAACAAACCATAGCCTTATCAGACACTTTCACCTCAAGTTCATCCAACACTCTGCTTTCTAATTCAGCTTGATCTGGATTCTGATGAAAACACCCGGCTGGATGATTCACATGATGATGACAAACAGACAACAAGATGTTACACATTCATTTGAGAGGCAGAAAAGGACCATAATGACAGAAGCAAAGTTAAGACTTCATCAGCCGAGTTTCGCGATTCAGTTGGTAGGGCGTAGACCGGTAGACCGGTATCCAGAGGCTGTTCAAACTTCAGTGGTCAACTGTTACTTTCAAATATCTTAGGAGAAACAATAATACGTTATTAACCAAATAATCACCAAATTGGTTTTCATAAATTGCATTGTGGTGTTAAAAGAAACCTATATACAAGTGTAGGTCATCGATGAGAAACTGACTGAAAAGAAATATCTGTTTCCCCAGTTTTTGGTTTTCTGTATAAATGTAGATCATTTCACTTATCCATTTTGTTCTGATCAACAAAACTCATATTTCTGAATTTTAGATAATGAGAGTGAGCATATACACTTGGACTGGAGATTTGTTAACTCGGTTTTACATTTTACTGGCATTTCCACTATCCGTTGCTGTGGACTCCATGCACCGCATTTATATTGCAGACAATCTAAGTCATTGTATTGCAGTTTACAATTATGCTGGTGAATCATTAGGCTCAATAGGCGCTTGTGGACTGACAAATTTTCCAGTAGGTGCTATAATACTTTCCAATCCAACATCGAATGAAGAACAAAGTCAGGAACTGTTGGTTGTGGGTAAGCAGACAAAAGTAACTGAGATATTAATACATAAATGTGATTGATTTTTTATTCGCACCAGCTGTTCCTATCGACAATGTACTCAGTGCAAGAACTGATGGCACTACACTCAATAAGACATGAGATCATAGGTGCATACTCCTAAGTAATTTCAAACGATTAGGAATCTGACATTCAGTACCTCACGGTTTCCAATGGTTTTTTAGTTGATGTGGATCCGGGGTGAAAATCGATTAAACAAGTCAGTTTGTTTGATCGAATCGAATCGAAACGCACTCATCAATCTTATGTACATTAATGTTGCAGGCCATGAGCCACATCTATTGTGTGAGGGTTAATGGCTGCCCAAACTTCGATAGGTGGAGCGAACGAACCACTTCTTTTTCTTTTATACCTCTAGAATGAAAATGATAGCAACAACAGTATGTTAACAGAAACTATGTTTTCCAGAATTGCTCTGAAGTTGGCACTCATGATTTTGTTCTGAACAACAATGAAAACTTTTCAGTCAAACCATCCTGCTGACAAGATGCGCTAACATAATCTCGGTTATAGACTTATATATCACTACAAAATCATACGTATTTCTGATGTAATTTTATAAATCATTATCTAAGGTGTAGATCTGGTTCATGAAGTGTATGGACGTTGAGAGGATAAACAAGGACTGAAAAAATCATAATGCAACTCAGAAACTACCTATCTATTTACAAAGTAGGGAATGAACCAAATCTTTTATATAATACTGAATGATATCACATGACTGCGAAGACCATGGTAGGTGGGCTGATATTGAAACCCGTGATTGATCTATTAAAGACTGGATTTCTAGTTCAATGAGTCACAGCTTCAAACTAACGACAAATATTTACTCCATAGAAGGAAAATCCATCTATCAATACTAAACTAGCAGAAATAGGAAATATGAACCATTGGATTCCAACCCAGCGACTCGATGGTAACTTGGTGGCGGCGGCACGTGAAAGTCCTGGGTTCATTCATAATGAGGTCATGGGTAAGCACTGCTAAAGAGTGCCGCACTAGGATGAAATAGCTATCCACTGCTCCCACTGTTTCTTCAACTGACGTCAGTCCATGATGAATACCAACTTGAAATACTAAAAGTATTCATTAATTCAATATTTTCCTCCTAATTCCACCGAAAAATTCGATGGTATAATAACTAATGGTGTACTTTACAAAATGGATGTTTACACTGTTCTACCAAGCAAGTACAAAACCTCAGTGTGTACTACTGTTGGGCAGGTACTACTTACACTGCATAATTCATTGATCACTGGTGTATAAGAGATGTAATGATTTATTTCCCAGTTAAGCTTCTGTTTAGTTCACATTCACATCTTCATTCTGATTAAAAGTGTGGTAAGTTGTTTAAAAATATGAAAAATCCAAACATGTGTCAAACTTCCCATTTATGTTAGTTCTTTAACAAATAAGATAAGAACATATTTTTGTAAAATTATACTATTTGCATTACCAAAAAGATGTAAATCTTATTTTATTTTGAACAGTATTAGTGTGAACAAGTGTGAAGGACTGAATCAGTATGTATCTGAACAGTGCATGTTACTGGGGTTATGTTTACAAAAATAGTATTTGCTTGCTTATTGTAGTTGATATTCTGAGTAATAAATGAATACTAGACTGTTCATCAGCGACTGCAGATTAACTAAAGTCTGAAAAAGGGAAGCAGCTAAATATGACTAAAATGTGGGTCTTATTAACCTTCTTACTGGATGTGAAGGTTGTGAATTCAATCTTGTAAAGAACCAATGGTAAGGATTTGTAAGAAGTCGTGAATAGAATGGAATATGTTTCCAATAGCTTTGACTTTCTGTTTTGGTTTTTGGAGTTAAATAGACAAGACAATCTTACTAGTAACTACCAAGAGATCAAGCTTTTATAGTTATTTACCGTGCTCTGAAACTTTATCTCCATACACGAATTGAAGTCTTACTTGGAAATTTATTAGTTTTCAAACGGTTAAGACTTCAAGTTGTTTATTCAGTTTTTTCTAATCGAATACTTGTTTCTTTATATATAAAATGAAAATCAGAAAAGGGTACTCAAGTACAACTCATTACTATCAACTATATAGATATTGACGAAATATAGCAACTTATTCATTAACACGAACAAGGCATGTATCAACGAAGAAATATTTATTTTCAACGACTTCATTATCAAGCTGTAAAGTCGTATTTATACTCGGTAAAGTGACAGATAACTGCACTAAAAAGTTGCTCAGTCAATATGCATAATATACAATCGGTATAGGTGGTGGTATTTGTTCAAGTGGAAGAGATAGAAAATGAGTCATTGAAAAAGGAACGAACTGATAACAAGTGGTGAGATGAGACACGTGTTGTCAAAGAATTGTAAAACGGTTATAATTAAGCTGAAACGTGTAAAATAGGTCAATGAACAAGGAATGAATTGATATTAAAAGGTGAAATATGGGTCAAATGTTGTCAATGAAGTAAAAATTGGTGATAATGATGATAATAGAAGAGAAGTATGCCAAAGTGAACTGAAATTGAAAAAATCAACAAAATGAATTGTTAAGGCCAAGGTAGAGAAAGTGGTTTCACAAAACGTTTTTGAGAGCAAACTTTCGGTTTTTGTTCATGTATAGCTTATGCTTCAGCTATGCATAAGTGGTGGAAACGTAAACCTTTGGGTTAGTTTAATTTAACTTTGTAAATTATTTTAAAGTATGAATCTCGAGGTGCTGAGTGTCCCAATTCAACAAGGTGTTCACGTATGGATGGAGTCGTTTTCCTTTGCTTGCCTCTGGTAAGCCAAACCGGGTGGTGTTCAGAAACACGTTTTCGGAGGGCCCGCTTACAACATCCAATAAAGTCAGCTCCACAGGAGCATCTGAACTTGTAGATACACATAGATGTGGACTTAAGTGGAAGCCTATCCTTCACGCATTGATGAATCAGACGACGGCTGGAGAATACCAATCTGTCTAGCAGCATAGAAGCTACTAGATAGATACATATTGACAGACGATTTTTCTGCACTTCAACTGTGGTGTCTGCTTTGAATTCTACATTCATGGTTACAATCTTCTTAGAGACTGTAATGGCATGCGGAGTGGTCAGTTTCCTCAGATACTTATCAATAAATATTTCAAAGAATCCGTTATTAGATAATATTATTCTAAGTGTTTCGATTTAAGCATCCACCGTATCTCCTGAACATATACCATGCATTCTGGAACACAGTGAGTGAATGAGATTTCTCCTACAACCAGGAGGTACCCAAGTATAAAAATAAGTGAAATGAACCATCCAAGTTGGTTTCCGGTAGACTGACCGTCGAATCGAGCCATCATCCCTTCTCTTTAACATTACATCTTGAAAGCGGAACGATGAGCTTCATCTTTCATCATACTACTTTCTTACTTGTGGTCCTGATATTACGAGTGGCAACTTGGACAGTTAAGCAGCAATGCCTAATTTCTATGTTGATTTTGATTCATTGATCAAAATGAAAACAATGAGTGAATACATTTGCGTCAAAGACACTGACTTTCAGTCAGGTCGCCAATTACAGTCTTCAATCACTGATCTCTCTGTTGTCATGAGGACTACCCTGCACTACTCAGACCAACAGTCAAAGAACTCATGGATTTATCTCTGCTTGAGTCCAGTAGCACCTAACCTATTCCCAACATGAACCTACATCAGCTAACAATGTGAAACGAGCCAGACCGTCACTACGCATGTGCAACATTTCCCAGCTCCGCTATATAACTCTTTATTACCGACTTGGTGGCACCGTGACACATGGTATACGCTATGAAGAAGACGGCAGTTGAACACCTAAGGCCTTCTCATGTACTCCAACTTTTAACAGTCGTGTCTCACAGCTATACGGTAGGACTGAGACAACTGCAGTGCAGTGTGCTCCACCCTTAACACCCAACCAGATACCCCAATCATATCATAGGTATGCAAGTTGGCGAAATCCAATCCACTCTCCTCTCCCCGTCCACAGACTTCGTCGATCGCTGACACACAACAACTGCGGCGGCTTCCCGAATAAATGAAGTGGTCAACGCACTCAACCATTTCACTATTTGTCGTTCGGCAACACCCCAGGAAAGCCCAATCCCGATACATTTGAAAGGCGACTCACGCATCCCAAACATTCTCAATTTCCCAGTTACGGTGTCCATGAGACTATACATCTTGTCAACAGAAATATGTCATCTGCTTACTCTAGATCTATTAAGCATTTTCATGTGATAATGACAACCCCTTCAAAGTCAGATGAAGAGAAGGAGAACTCCTTTCATGACAAATATATTGAATCCAGTATTCCTTCATATCTCCTCCTTCTCCTCACCTACTTTCAACCAATTCTCTTCTATTTCATCCCAAACCCTTCTTTCATCATGTGTTGATATCCAGTGTAGTAACCTGAACCACTGTGCATTAATGCCTCGTACAATGTGGATGACAGTCCAACGACAAACTTAAATAGTAATGGAGAACAATCAACGTACGCAATTCACCTGATAACTCACCATAGGCTGTAACACACCAACAGGCATTCAAATATAGAGTCCTCAACAAAGTCATATACTTACACAGTACTCCATTCAGTCAGAGACACTGCCACATGACATATCAGTCGATGGAGCCCGATGCACCTTCGGGTCAAGAAATAAAGCTAGTGTCAGGCACCAGAACTCAGCGGAAGGTGAGTACCGGTTCGATATATATATATATATATATATATATATATATATATATATATATATATATATGTATACAACTAGGTCTAAAACCTACATGCTTTCCTCGGTTTTGCTGTCCCCCATCTCCGCTGAGACACCTCATAATCACACAATATGGAATCTTACACACTATACTGACCAGACTGATTCTCACATGGTCATCATAAGAGCATCCTTCACCTTTCTTGAAGAATGACACATCACTAATTGGGACCACTTAGAGACAACCATAAGCTAAAACTTCAACTAACCTAACGAGTGATCCTCAATCAACGTCCTTAAATACCTCTTGTACTAGCCTGTTTCAATCTCGAGGAATTTCACCATTCCTTTTAGTCGACCATTTCACCTTCGAATGTACTGCTACACCTACATCTACAACACTGCAACAACCAATCATCGTGTTCCCGGAAACGCTCAACGCAAATTTTACACAGCCACAATATTGGCCGGGTGACGTCAAGTGAATACTCACACTTCAATTCTGTACACATGTCTGCCTCAAACATAAAAAACGTTCATGATAGGAGATGCCAGAATTTTGGCTACAAAAACCTTCCTCATTCGACGGAGCGTAGAAATTAAAAGCTTTAATTTGTAGTTTGGAACCCCGTCTCACTGGACTATGGATACTGTCACATAAACTAGTATCGTTATCGAAAGACGCAGAGTTAGAAGAAATTAAAGGTGATGTAAGAATATTGACTGAGAAACACGAAGATTAGAAAGTAAAGGTAGTGAAGTCTCACAGTGATATGAAGAAACCTCAGTACTGACACATTTGTGGAAGTAGTTAACACTTCTTTCCTCCTCAGATCGTGTAAGATTACTTCTTCTTGAGGTGCCTCAAAAAGAAATTGGCTTAATAATAATGGTGTGTGACCACAAAGACCATGGAACACCTGCTCAATGTCGATCACACATAGCCTCTTTGAAAGCATGAAATTTCAGTTTGCTGGTTATTAATCCAGCTGTTGACCTATAACACTGGCACCGGAAGACAGCGAGGTAAGGGGTGTTATTTTTGTGATCAATCTTCTCCTAACTTCAGCTTCCCATAGAAAAGGCAGCATTAATATGGCACTGCTGGTCATCTGTGGGGAACGCCCTACTGCTGTCAGACCCTTGTTTAGTAAGTAAAACTGTTCTATCTAACTCCGATTAATGAATACTATTTTACACTGCATCGATAACTGCTTTACATCTTACAACTTCAAATAGATTTATCTGGCACGTAGGGACCTCGAGGGAAACGTGTTCCGGCAACAAGCAAGCCCGATGATCATATCAAGGTAGCAGATAACGGTCGTATGGCTAAGTAGATGGAAAAATAACCAATTCGGTTGGAGAACATAGTGTGGCCTTGTAGCTGCATAATCACACATGAATTTTAAGAATTCGAAACAACAATCACATGAACTGTTACTACAGTTCATATAGTGAATACCTATACAGACAAAAGATTGTAAAATAATTTTTTTCAAATAGTTTACACATGTTTTTTCGTTCAGTGATCGTATGATTAACTCGCTGAAACTAATGATTGTCTTTCGAAAAGAATATATGTTTAGATTATTGTTTTTTTTTGAATACAGTTGACAACCATAACAATTTGAACATCACTGTATTCAATACGGATGGTCATTTGATCTACGCAATGCATAGCAATATTCAACATACACGAATCTGCTCAATAACTGTAGATAATCAAACACTTTTAAACTGCATGTCACCAAATTGTTGTAACATTTTACCAATGATAAAAAATGACAAGCAGATAAATCAAACTCATTCACATATAATGTCTACTAATAATAGTTTACAATTAACCACAAGTTATTCAGTTATCATTGCCAGTAAAGATTATCGTATTTATAGGTATTTTTTACCTTCAGATATTTTCATATAAGAACAATTATTAACGATATATGCAGACACATTGATAATAGTTGTGAAATTCTTTTTTTTCGTTAAAAAAGGGAACCTAGTAATATCAATTACACCGTCTGTCTGATCATGATACACATATTTTGTTAACTTACTCAGAGATATTTCTACAAGATGAAGCTAAAATTAGAGTTTTCTCAGCATATTCAAGTGCATTTATCGATTGTTAAAACAATAAACGTTTTGTGAAATATTTTTCATTTACTCCCAAATGTTCATAAGAATTTGTTATCGCTTTTACTGGTAAGCATTTTTGGGTGAAATCAGTATTGGCTGTTTGATGGTGATCAAAATTTCCATCTTGTTTATTGTTGTTGGTAAATAAAGGCAATATTCGAGTAGAATATCTTTCTAAAATATGGCGAAAACATTCGCTGTCACTATCTTTCTAATAGTGACAGCGAATGTTTTCGCCATATTTTTCTGAGTGAGAAATAACACAATTGAAAGCAGCACAACCACATAAATTAAAAAAAGTCAAACATCTGTGAGTCTCTAGTCCTGGGATAAGATTGTAACATCATTAAATGATCTGGACCACGATGATCTCAGTGAGAAGCTATTTGGATTTTTCTGAAATGTACTCAGCAACCTTATGTACAATTGTGCAGTGAGCAACGAACCATACCTACTGTGAGGGGTAATGACACTAGCTGGGTAGATTAAGCGTCGCCAAAAGCCGCTACCCAAATCAAATCCCTTAAATAATGAGCCATATTTCCATGAAATGCAATTATAAAAAGTCAGAGTACCACCATAAACTACATCTCGATGACTGACGTTTGAATCTAGAGAGCTTATCCTATCGTAGCAGCTAAATTTGCATACGCTGTTTTTAGTAAGACGTATGGTTTCATAAATCAAGTTTAACCAAAATCACTCTCTATTCTTAATTAAGTTCAGTAAAGCTCGTCTCTCAAGAAAGTGTTGCATTCACTCTGATGGCATTTTTACCTATAGATTGATTCCTCTGGAACTGAGGATCACATATGCTTGTATGCAGTCATGATTAATATCTCTCACATTTCGACTTACTAACAGGAAATGACACAGAATTCTCTGGCAGGTAGTGACTAGCATTCTGACTGCCTAAGAAATGTAATTTACGGGAAGTAAGTCGTCATCTAATACTTCATACATTTTCAGCCCAAAGGGGTCTCAGATATGGAAAAATACCAGAGTAGTAAATAAGCAGTAGTGACATAATCATCATCGGTGATAATAGAGTTTATAGACCAGTAAAAAACTCATACAAGCAGTAACTGATTATTATAAAAGTAGTAGAAGCTCGATGAATCTATTCTCAAACAGAATGCCAATTAACTTTCGATTACGCCATGGTAATGAATGCCAAGCACAAAAATCAAGTCAAGGGTTTCTTGCCGATGGCCTACAACCAACTAAAAAAGGCATAGATTCAAAGTATAAGTGAATTCGCAAACTGACTATGTATCACCAGCCTACCTGTAAAGTACCACTTCTATCAAAGCCAGGTTTCGTGCTCAAATATTAGTGTGTAAATTTCCTAAACTCATAAAAACAAAGCTTCAACATAAAAATAAAAACATACGCCGCCCACATAAAATATCCCCTGCTCTTTTTAAGGATGGAGGGACGACTCTAGTAAGGGAACTGACTAAATTGTTTGAGATGTGGTAGACTTATAGTTTTCCATCACTCTGGAGTGAAGCCATCATTGTGACCATTTTTTATAAGAACTTATGTAACGTATGTGACAATCACCGGGATATTGGTCGATTACCATTAGCGTCGAAAATATCGTCTGCTCCTATGGCTTCGCAGACTTTTCGAAAAGAGCGAGAAAATGGTTCGCAAGGAACAGCCTGGGTTTCATTCAGTTCGTGAATGCATTAACCATGTGTTTACCCTCTGCCAGATGTTTGAACATCTGATATATCGTAGGCTGACTGGTTGTTTCTTGACAGTAGCACTGCCTTTGATTCGTTGGACAGAGCTGTACTCTGTAACTTTCTATTAGAGAGAGGCAAACCTGGGAAATTCATTATCATCTTGAAAGCCCCATATAATAACACCTCAGGAAGAGTGAGGACATACAACCACTTGTTTACATTGTTCCAAACCAGCAGTGGGGTTAGGCAGGGTTGCTCGATTTCCCCATTCCCGTTTAACTTTGCCACTGATGGCATTCTTGAGACAGCTCTGAAGCAGGTGCATGATGTTGATGTAGATCTGCTGCCCGACCTTGAATATGCCGACGATATCATCTTAGGGTGCGATAACACACAGGCTACTCAAATCATACTTAATTGGTTGGGGATATGTGCCCATAAGTATGGTATGTGCTTTGCATCGTCAAAGTGCAGAGTACTTTCCCAAGATTGGCAGGAGCCTGCACTTACTCTCAGTGGTGAGCTGTTGGAAGCAGTCGAAAAGTTCGTGTATCCTGGTAGTTGTGTGCTGGCAGAGATATGAGTGAAGAAATTTCTAACCACATATTGATAGGACAGAGTGGAATACGCCGATATGGTCCACCTTTAGCGCCGTTAATCTGACAATAAAAGGTCGGGTTCACAAAGGTTCGGTGGGAGCAGTTCTGCTCTACGCCTGTGAGACCCGGCCTCTCCGAGTTGAGAATGTGTTAGGACTCTGTGTTCGATCATCATTGTCTCCGTAGGATTGCTCGTATCTGGTGGCAATACCATACTGGTAATTCTGAGGTACGGCAGCACATGTTTAGGCATGATGTAGACCATCATTTAATACATGAAGTCACCTGGAAACAACAGCTTCGATAGCTTGGACATGTGATACGCACGTCGTCTTAACGACTTCCATACCATTCACTAGCCTTGGAACTGAGTGGAAAAAGCTGACGGGTGGTCAGTGTATGACCTGATATCATGGGATGAAGGATAATTGTTCCAAGTTAGCATCTGTTGCTGCATCAGGGCTTCCTAGGTGGGGTCCGAAAGACCACGCAACTCAGTAGCTCGAGACATTATCAGACATGACTCAGAATCGAAACCAGCGGCGGTCATGCTGTGGCTTTCTTCTATCTTCTGTTGCTGAAAAGTCATGAATGTTTCTTTTTGAATATATCTTATTGCACTGCCTTTCTAATCATTCTATTCTTACTGTTTCTTATCCACTTTCCTTAGCTTTATCTTCATAATATCATATTATTTTGTGTAGAGCATTTCTCGGTGCTCTTGCTGCACCATGATTGTTTTAATAATAGGAATCACAAAAGCGATTTCAGTGCATGCTAAGTATTTTCATCGTTACCTGAAAACGGTCAAGCAGCAGCTTCAGAGGAAAGCAGTCTCCATCAGTTCGTTCAAAGAAAGTTAATCAGTCACACAGTTTGACACTCTTGGAATAAAACTAAAGACAAGAAACTGACCAATTAGGTTCAACATATGCCCCCATACACTAACCCAGGTTAGGCCCCAGGGAAGTGGCGCATCATAAATGTCTGTGTGCAACCAATTACTTCATCTCCTTGTGAACCTCTGATGGTGATGCCTAGCACGAAGCTGAAACACTCGTCAATAGAAATCTGAGCTCAGATAACAACACACTCTAGACATTAACACTCTGCATCCTGTCAACCTTCCCTCTCACCATGACGTGAAGAGGTAGACTACAAAAACATATATTTTAGGCTCTAAAACAACCACAGTAGTTGGAAGGTGATTAACTTACTACACTTTTCTCAGTGACAAACATTACCATAGGATCTCCAGGTGAGCAGAGTGGAATGCCTCCCTAGAACCAAGAAATATAGTTAGCGTCGAGCGCGTTTAGATTTGTGACATACCTAAAACAAAACCTGCTCATCGAGACCGCAACTAAATAAAAGAAAACTCAAGTTTGTTTATCAAAATGCAAATGTAGTCAACTTCCTCTCCATAACTGCATCCTTTATGCAGTTTACATGCCTGTATTATATGAAGAGTGTTAACAACTACAAAATGACTGCATTATAAAGTGAACATCTAACTGTTTCCTATAATTTCCGAATCCGTGTTTCATATCCTATAAACACCTTCTTTACGACAGAAAATCCAGCAATAAAAGAAGCTTGATCAAATTACCTACGCTGATCAAATAGAATAAATACACAAAACCGATATGTAGACGGATTATAATAATTGAGCACATATCAGTCGCTGAATAACAGAAGTGCCACGGGATGACAACAGTATCAGGCTGAAGAGATATTTAAATTCACACTTATTACAAGACTGAGGAACGAATATCTAAGTGACCACTAGACTGATTATGTCATCGAATGGTACATCAGAAAACATGATATATTAAAATGATGGCACTGACAAGAAATTAGTGTTTTTCAATGGTAGGTTCATAAAAAAAAATGAAGAAGGATAAAATCATTAAAATTCTCTTGAATAGTGGTTTTTGTGATCACAGAAAGTCAATTACACGTTAAGAAATAAGTAAACAACGGCAATATTTTGAACACGTATAGGAAGAAAATTTGTACAATGTTCCAGACGGCTCTATTTACTGAATTACCGAACCGATAGTACACAATATCAGGTCGAGATCACAAGAAAGATTGCACTAATCATCATCAAAAATAGCTGAACTGTTCTGCATTTATAAAAATGTTTCACGTAGTTGATTGCGAAAAATCAGAGGCAAAAGTGATAAAGCAGCTAGTATAATCAATGTTGAAAATGAGGTTAAAGACGCTACTCCCAAATCCGTGAGTTCTTGGAGTACTGTTCCAGCTTTGATAAATACCAGTGACAGTGGAACTACTCCTAGAAAAGATGAATGCAAGAAATTTGTAAAGCGATACAAAATACCAGGTATGGACTACGCCTATCTATAGCTGCAGTTTCACATTACCATGAGTATAATATAATAATGCAATACAACTCAATAACCAAAAACCATTTCAAGTACGTTACATGTAACATATACTGTGTTTTCAGCTAGGGACTCTGAACACCTAGTTTTTCATTATATGATCGCATAATGAATATTCCTTAGTTTACATCCCACAATCACCTCAGTTGGAGACTGTTAGTTTAGTGTTGACTAATCCGAAGTTATATGATGCACAAGTAAAAACTCCTGAATGAAGTCAAGCGATGAAATCCCTCTCTATGCAGTTCTCTTGAAAGTATCAATGGACCGTTCACTCCAGTCGTTCGATTTCGGATATAGTGGAGAGTACATACGCTTAAAAGTATGATGATAGAGCTCTCAAAATTGATGGTCTGTAAACTTTGAGCCGTTATCTGCAACTACTGTTTCAGTTAAATAATGGTGGGAGAATATACCAGACAAGATCTAAAGAGTATTTGATGTTGTTAATGGAAACCCAGCACGATGTCTGGGTATTTCGAAAAAGGCACCTACAACCACAAGCCTGACAGGCCATTAATAGGAACACCAAAACGGGACCAAGAAGTCTTTGAATGTAAGAGGCAGATAGTGAAGATGTTTCGCTGCTTGCTGACATTTTGAACATCTTTTATACAAAATTATATCTCTGCGCTATAACTGCTTGGTGTTTTCTCAGCTTTGAGGTTTGTTCTTGGAATTTTCATCACCGGGCCAGGTGAATTCATAAGCTCTTATGTGGTTGCGATTTAAAGTTAAGCTCCGACCAATCGACTATAGTTCTCTGACTATATGTATCACTCTAAAATTACTATTTACTGACGATATCTTGTACAGAATCTATTGTTCATAGTCATGTCAAGATCATCGCACAACTTTCTGGTCTGGTTTTTGCAGCTGTACTGTTCATCACTCTTCGATCTAATCAGTAGTAGGATTTTCCACTCATCTGAAATTAGTGTCCCATCATTACTATTATATGTGTCAGGTATCGATTCGATAAACAAAGTTTCAGCTTTTAGTCTTGCTCCACCAACCAATATTAGTACTTAAAATTGCCACTCATTGGGTGATTATGTATGACAGTCACCAAGGCTATAGCTGAGTTCTCTAGATTTCTTATCGAGTTAGGGCTTATCATTCCACATTTAGTTAGGTCTCTAAATTCTAATAACCAGACTGACCCCGACCTTGATCGACTAGTCTGACCAACATACCTGACTTTACAGTCATTACATAGAATTCCGTAGAAAAAAGTGTCTTGTTTAATAGGTTTGATTGAATCCTTTAGCCGAGAAACAATGTCCCTAAGTGAGTTTGTAGGTTTAGGAGCCACTCTAATCCTGATGTTATCGAGAATGTTAAGTAGGTTTGTGAATTTTCTGTCTCTATAAATTAAAAATATGGAGCTAAATAAAAACCTTACCCTATAATTTTACCATTACAACTGTTTGCGTTTTTTGTTCAAGTATTAGCAGTATCTTTCTAAATAATCCTTCAGTTTCTACGTAAACCAGCCCACATCAACATACAGCCAAAGATTACTTCCTAATGTTCGAAGTTTCCACACCTCACATCAGCACATCAAGGTAGTAGGAACACATGAGATACCGAAACAATGAAAGAAGTCATCAAAACCAATAGAAACTGGTAAAATGAGAAGAATATAAGTAAGGGATAAAAAGAATAAGGAATCACCATGTCAGCTAAGGTCATGAACCTTCATCGACTGACATGGCTGAGAAGTGTTACACATGCCTAGTCACCGTTTACCTAGTCATGTAATATTAGTTGAAGTATGTTCAAGCCGTAAAAGGCTCGGGATGGCCAGACTGGAAAAAGGCGTATCATTATGTGAAATCTTTGACCATTGGTCTGGGCCATGGAAGCAGATAAAGACTAGCCGGCTGGGATCCACCTAACAACACAAACCAGTTGCTGGAGACTCTGGGTGATATGGCTCAGAATCGAAGTTAGTGGAACAGATGTATCCACACTTTATCTTCAACGAACCGCAGAAGTGAATTTAGAACTCACTCATTTGTTCCTCCTCTTAATACTTTTGACCGGTTATTCATTCCTTCTTGACCTTTCATCTTACTACTTTCTTACTTGTGGTCCTGATGTTACGAGTGGCAACTTGGACAGTTAAGCAGCAATGCCTAATTTCTATGTTGATTTTGATTCATTGATCAAAATGAAAACAATGAGTGAATACATTTGCGTCAAAGACACTGACTTTCAGTCAGGTCGCCAATTACAGTCTTCAATCACTGATCTCTCTGTTGTCATGAGGACTACCCTGCACTACTCAGACCAACAGTCAAAGAACTCATGGATTTATCTCTGCTTGAGTCCAGTAGCACCTAACCTATTCCCAACATGAACCTACATCAGCTAACAATGTGAAACGAGCCAGACCGTCACTACGCATGTGCAACATTTCCCAGCTCCGCTATATAACTCTTTATTACCGACTTGGTGGCACCGTGACACATGGTATACGCTATGAAGAAGACGGCAGTTGAACACCTAAGGCCTTCTCATGTACTCCAACTTTTAACAGTCGTGTCTCACAGCTATACGGTAGGACTGAGACAACTGCAGTGCAGTGTGCTCCACCCTTAACACCCAACCAGATACCCCAATCATATCATAGGTATGCAAGTTGGCGAAATCCAATCCACTCTCCTCTCCTCGTCCACAGACTTCGTCGATCGCTGACACACAACAACTGCGGCGACTTCCCGAATAAATGAAGTGGTCAACGCACTCAACCATTTCACTATTTGTCGTTCGGCAACACCCCAGGAAAGCCCAATCCCGATACATTTGAAAAGCGACTCATGCATCCCAAACATTCTCAATTTTCTAGTTACGGTGTCCATGAGACTATACATCTTGTCAACAGAAATATGTCATCTGCTTACTCTAGATCTATTAAGCATTTTCATGTGATAATGACAACCCCTTCAAAGTCAGATGAAGAGAGGGAGAACTCCATTCATGACAAATATATTGAATCCAGTATTCCTTTGTATCTCCTCCTTCTCCTCACCTACTTTCAACCAATTCTCTTCTATTTCATCCCAAACCCTTCTTTCATCATGTGTTGATATCCAGTGTAGTAACCTGAACCACTGTGCATTAATGCCTCGTACAATGTGGATGACAGTCCAACGACAAACTTAAATAGTAATGGAGAACAATCAACGTACGCAATTCACCTGATAACTCACCATAGGCTGTAACACACCAACAGGCATTCAAATATAGAGTCCTCAACAAAGTCATATACTTACACAGTACTCCATTCAGTCAGAGACACTGCCACATGACATATCAGTCGATGGAGCCCGATGCACCTTCGGGTCAAGAAATAAAGCTAGTGTCGGGCACCAGAACTCAGCGGAAGGTGAGTACCGGTTCGATATATATATATATAAAAACAACTAGGTAACCTCGCCTGGTTAACTAGTTTACTAGTTACTAGCCGGTCCTAAGCCCGGGTAAAGAGGGAAGGTTGGGCATAGGGCTAGCACCCCTACCCCGTTAAACAAATGTAACCGCTAAAGAAACTTCAAAGCACAAACAAGATATAAAAAATGAAAACAAACTTATTCCCCGCTGGAATCGGAGAAGCGAAATGACGCCAGTTGGTGAAAGCCTTCGGGAAGGCAATTGGCCGATGTGTCTTCTCTCGATGAAAGCGAAAGTAAACGTGGGGACATGGAATGTCCACACCATGTTTGAACCCAGTAAGGCAGCCCAGATTGCAAAGGAGATGAGAAGGTATCACATCGAAGTGCTTGGGATTTGCGAAAGCAGATGGAATGGGAGTGGACTCTCCAAACTGTCAACTGGAGAATCAATAATCTACTCCGATATTGTCACCCAGACGACAACCACGAGCACACTGAGTTTTGGAGTGGCTATTATGATGTCCTCAAGAGCATCGAAGGCTCTCATGCAGTGGGAACCAATCTCCTCAACGATCATGACAGCAAGATTCAACTCAAAAGGAAGAAAGGTCACAATCATACAATGTTATGCACCTACAAATAATGCAGAGTAAGAGAAAAAGGAGATTTCTACAGACAACTTCAATCAACACTGGACAAGACGCCAGTTGGCGATATCAAAATTCTAATGGGCGACATGAATGCCAAACTGGGAGGGGACAACACGGGAAGAGAACTAACCATGGGTCGAGAGGCGCTAGGTGAAATGAATGAGAATGGAGAATTGTTTGCAGAATTCTGTGCATTCAACGATTTGGTGATTGGAGGCAGTGTGTTCAGGCACAAAGATATCCACAAAGCTAGCGACATGGATTTCACCAGATGGACACACTAAAAATCAAATCGACTTTATCTCAATCTCAAGAAAATGGAGACGCAGTCTACTCAACACAAGGTCAAGAAGAGGAGCAGATGTAGGTTCAGACAACTCACTATCCAGTGCAAGGAACCTTCCAAATCAAGTTAAAAGCCTTCAAGGAAGCTGGTGATAGACCTCAATTCAAGTACAACACTCGGAAACTGAAGGATGAAACTACAAAGGAAATCTTCACGGCAGCCAGCCATCAAGACAAAATGGGAGACATCGAGGAACATCCCTGAAGAAACCTGTGTGAAAGAACACTGGAAGTCTTTGAAAGCTATGTGGAAAGAAAGCTGCACAACAGTATTAGGAAGGAAGAAGAAAGAAGACAAGGAATGGATCTCGACGGATACCTGGAAGCTGATAGAGAAGAGGAGGATGGTGAAGCAGAAGACAAACCAGTGCATGGATGCTCAACGACAAGAGGAACTGAGCACAATATATAAAACACTGGATAAAGAAGTGAAGAAGAGTGCACGCAAAGACAAAAGACACTTCTACGAAACACTGGCAAGTGAAGCAGAACAGTCTATAGGCGGGTAAGAGAGACCTGACGACATTGTATCAAATAACCAGGTTGCTATCAGGGAAGAGACCAACACAGATGAAACCAATAAAAGATGAAGAAGGAAATTTAATTACAAAAGAAGAGAAACAGAGGAAACGATGGGCCGACCACTTCAAGAAGCTCTTGAATCGACCACCACCTGCACTTCGTCCAGAAATACCACCTGCAGCCTCTGAATTACAAGTGAACATAAATCCCCCAACGAAAATGGAAGTCCTGAACGCCATAAAGCTACTGAAATGCGGGAAAGCAGCAGGACCAGATGGAATACCGCCAGAAGCACTGAGAACAGATGCAGAGACAACAGCGGACATGCTCACACCACTATTGCACAAGGTGTGGAAGGAAGAGAAGGTACCTGTCGATTGGAAGAAGGGTTACCTTGTCAAACTGCCGAAGAAAGGAGACCTCAGTGCTTGCAAGAACTGGCGCGGAATCACTCTCCTGTCCACCCCAAGCAAAATATTAAGCCGCATCATCCTAGAGAGGCTTAAAGATGCACTGGATTCAAAACTGCGACCGGAACAGGCAGGCTTCAGGAAGTACAAATCATGTGCAGACCAAATTGCAACGCTTCGTATCATCATAGAACAGAGCATAGAATGGCAATCAGCTCTCTACCTCAACTTCATCGACTTTGAGAAGGCCTTTGACAGCGTCGACCGAGAAGTAATTTGGAAACTGCTTCAATACTACGGAGTACCGCAAACCTTTATCCGCCTCATTCAACAACTATATGAAGATGCCACATGCCAACCAAGTAATTCACAATGGGAAGCTCAGTGATGCTTTTGAAGTGAAAACAGGAGTGAAACAAGGTTGCCTACTATCCCCCATGATATTCCTGATTGTGGTCGACTGGATCATGCAGCAAACAGTAGGCAGCGAGAAGAGGGGGATACGCTGGACGACGGAAAAGAACCTAGAAGACTTGAATTTCGCCGATGACTTGTGTCTGATGTCACATAAACTTGAAGATCTGCAGGCAAAAACTAACAAGTTGATAGAAGAGGTAGCGAAGACGGGACTTCAGGTGAATATAGAGAAGACAGAGGTGATGAAGATACCGCACCACCACCAACAACAAACTCCAATCACCGTCAACGGGAGGAACTTAAAGGAAGTAACCTCCTTCACTTATCTAGGAAGCACTGTTTCAACTACAGGCAGCATAGGCACAGACGAGGATGTCAAAGTCAGCCAGGATCGGAAAAGCGAGACTGACGTTCATCAACCTGAAACCAGTGTGGAGATCTTCTGCACTCAGCATAAAGCGTGAACTAGATCCGAGTTTTCAACACCAATGTCAAGTCAGTGCTTCTGTATGGTTCAGAGACTTGGCGCGTCACGAAAGGCATTTCCAATAAACTACAGATATTCATCAACAACTGCTTACGCTCGCTACTGGAGATCAGATGGCCAGAATAATAAGAATAAGCAACAAGGAACTCTGGGAACGAACCAACCAAGAACCTATCACGCAACAAATATGCAGGAGGAAGTGGAGATGGATTGGCCATGCACTGAGGCCGACTGAGGACATCACGCGTCAGGCACTCGAGTGGAATCCCCATGGGAAGCGACGAGTTGGACGTCCAAGGGTGACATGGAGGAGATCGTGCGAGGAGGAAATGAGAGCTTCTGGGCTGTCGTGGGACCAAGTTCAAAAGATCTCAAAGAACAGAGGTCACTGGAGGCGTGCTACTGAAGCCCTATGTTCCACTAGGAACCCAAGGGACTAATAATAATAATAATAATAAACAACTAGGTCTTAAACCTACATGCTTTCCTCGGTTTTGCTGTCCCCCATCTCCGCTGAGACACCTCATAATCACACAATATGGAATCTTACACACTATACTGACCAGACTGATTCTCACATGGTCATCATAAGAGCATCCTTCACCTTTCTTGAAGAATGACACATCACTAATTGGGACCACTTAGAGACAACCATAAGCTAAAACTTCAACTAACCTAACGAGTGATCCTCAATCAACGTCCTTAAATACCTCTTGTACTAGCCTGTTTCAATCTCGAGGAATTTCACCATTCCTTTTAGTCGACCATTTCACCTTCGAATGTACTGCTACACCTACATCTACAACACTGCAACAACCAATCATCGTGTTCCCGGAAACGCTCAACGCAAATTTTACACAGCCGCAATATTGGCCGGGTGACGTCAAGTGAATACTCACACTTCAATTCTGTACACATGTCTGCCTCAAACATAAAAAACGTTCATGATAGGAGATGCCAGAATTTTGGCTACAAAAACCTTCCTCATTCGACGGAGCGTAGAAATTAAAAGCTTTAATTTGTAGTTTGGAACCCCGTCTCACTGGACTATGGATACTGTCACATAAACTAGTATCGTTATCGAAAGACGCAGAGTTAGAAGAAATTAGAGGTGGTGTAAGAATATTGACTGAGAAACATGAAGAAAGATTAGAAGGTAAAGGTAGTGAAGTCTCACAGTGATATGAAGAAACCTCAGTACTGACATAGTTGTGGAAGTAGTTAACACTTCTTTCCTCCTCAGATCGTGTAAGATTACTTCTTCTTGAGGTGCCTCAAAAAGAAATTGGCTTAATAATAATGGTGTGTGACCACAAAGACCATGGAACACCTGCTCAATGTCGATCACACATAGCCTCTTTGAAAGCATGAAATTTCAGTTTGCTGGTTATTAATCCAGCTGTTGACCTATAACACTAGCACCGGAAGACAGAGAGGTAAGGGGTGTTATTTTTGTGATCAATCTTCTCCTAACTTAAGCTTCCCAAAGAAAAGGCAGCATTAATATGGCACTGCTGGTCATCTGTGGGGAACGCCCTACTGCTGTCAGACCCTTGTTTAGTAAGTAAAACTCTTCTATCTAACTCCCATCATAGCGTAGTACTTAACTCTATAGCTCATTGAGTCATTGTGGTATGCAAGCGAGAACACCAAGTCAAGACAGCAGTTATCCATCGGGCTTCCATGTAAACGCTCAGAAGTTGTTGATCAGTAATGAAGGTTAAAATGCTTCATTTTTTCACATAAATTTTCAACCTTACTAGCCAGGATGAAATAATGCGATCACCAGAGAGACCTCTTACGAGAATGAATAAATAAAATAACATCCTTATACTCTCAGATGACAAAAGGTGCACTAGTGTTCATAGATAACGATGATTACATCAAGAAAATGGAAGACTCCTGCATGAATCGAAAGGTATATCAACTAACTGAGACGAGCTCTATTCAAACGTTCAACTCTCAGACCACCAAGGCTTCAAACTAGTTTTTCAAAACAGAAAAGATTAGAAACTAGGCCAATGCTGAGTGAAATCCAATGTATCTGTTCTCTCACACCTCAATGATAGATCAAAAATACACAAACTAAGCATTTCTCTCAGTTAACCGTTTCATTTACGAGGCCATCAGCAAACAATATGCTGAAAGAGTTCTTCACAAAACTGAACCACCTGGTAAGATCATGAAATTGCTCCAATAAATCTGTGATACAAATACACACTGAAAAGGCGGAACTGATAGTATCTTTCAACGTTACATCTCTATGCACTTCAAACGAAACAAAACCACATAAGAATACAAAGGTCAAGAGGAGTCCGAATCCGTAACCCACTGGAAGAAAGCCAACTGGCCAAACCAATGAGCCACAGCTTCACTTCCTGTTGTACATTTTAGGAGATACAACAGAAGACAAAAACAAGTCCAATTTTATCTACAAAACAGTGGAAAACTGCGAAAATTACTATGCCGGGCAGTGGTAGCCTTTTTCGTGTTTATTCACATGAATACAGACTAGCAGTTAAGTGTCACGACATATCTTCGCACATATGAATGCATGTAGACAACTGTGGACATAACTTCAGCTCGAAAAATTTAAGAATCATATTTAGAGAGGATACGAAAACTGCTAGTAAATTTTTAGAAGTGTGACACTTAGATTAGCCAACGACAAATAGGTATGCCGACACAGATCTAATCCATAAACCGATGAGAAAAACGAGAAACAACAAGCTCACTGTCCACGTCAGCAGCGCGGCCAATGAAATATATGTGACGACAATCCTATGAGTACAGCAGAAACAACCAATCATACTCAGAGTCATCAGGACAAGCTACTAAGTCACTTGTGGGAAAGTTTGCATAGCTTACTTCTTCCTCAAGTTTGTGAAAACACTGTCTAAAATGATAATGAAAGCTTCAGTATTAACCAGCCAGCTCAGCAAACATATCAATAAAATCATCCTATTGAGCACCGAATATTCTAACATCACATTTTACTTCTCTTTCTTCTGCCTCCAATGAAGTGTAAGTGCACATGTACCCTAAATAACACAAAGATGGAGTGGAAGAGTGCGCTCTGGAAACAGAAACAATCTTCAATCGATTCTCTATGATGGAGATAGTGATGGCTCATTAGTTTAGTTCCACGACTAAGACACGGATACAACCACCGACTAGTGAATCATTTTATTTATGTGGTAAAGCAACAAGAAGTAACTGTCAAACAGTATGGCTTTAGGTACTTAATAATAAAACCATGTCTAACCAGCGAACAATTATCAACCGAAATAATATAAAGAAGACCGATTGAATATCCTGAAGACTTACCCACAAATGTACCCAGGAAGAAGTGGGCTAGGGGAATATCAATAATTGGTGATGATACATTTACGAGCCAGTTTGGGATGAAAGGACAAATCCGCAAACAGCATATGCATAAAAACATTGCGTTTTGATACCGATGGATCTGAGAGATAATTGCTAACAGATCATAACAACTTACAGTTTGGCGACATATCTCGATTTTCTCAGGGAACAAGTGCATCATAACTCTGGAACCAATAAAGCCAACAAGAAGGTAGCATAATGACGCTCCAATCGCTGAACACTAAAAACAGTTTTACCAGTTCTTTAACAACTTACCAGAGCCACAATGATGAGTGCAACTGGGAAAGGAAATAAATAACCCAGAAGAACGACACACACAACTGAGCCTGGTATCATGAATGACTGAAGGCTGAACATTAGTTAAGGTTTGCAACAAATCAATCATAATACCTATGCTACTTATTGATACTAAAAAATAGCACTTCACTGTTTAGAAAATGTTTGAGAGCTGAAAAGACTGACAGGTGATGTGAAAAAGACTTCACATCTCGAATTGACAGACTTTATGCTTAAACAGCACAAGCAATCAAAACACATATCCATAACAAAACATAGCATGTGATGAAAGATAACCCTTCTACCAACTTGAAAACAAAAATACTCCTATCCGCGCATTTTGCAGTCAACTGAAGAGAAAATGTACTGAAAAAACTACAATTATGCTTTCTGAGTGAAATGTGATCCACTGTTTGATTGACAATACAAACAGGCCGTTTAAACAGAGGACCGGTCAAACCTGTGACCCAATAATCTATGCAAAACCCTTAACTATAAAATAACATTCCGAAGGAGCAAACAGCAAGTGACTGGCAATACAACATACAGATTAGTTGGAAATAATCCATAACACTATATTGGGGTGGAAACCAACAAACGAAAACATGAAGTAATACAAAACATCCATTTCAAATGACCAGTTATAACCAAATCATTTGTCATCCAACGTGGGGATTAGTAAGCTTCATCATCACTCAAAACTATAGTTTATACTCATTATAAGACTTTTCAATCTCCTATAAATCACCTTCATTAAACTGTCGTGGACGCTGCCACAAAGAAGACAACTAGAGGAAGACTAGTAATCCCATATGGTAATGAAACGACCTCTATTGACATGCAAAAGATTGCTCAGCAAACTGTCATAAAATGAAAGTTCACCCACAATCGCTCTTGAAATAACCAAAAGTAACCTATATGCACATAATTCAAAAACCAGGAGTAGGTTTCTGAATTTAACAATCAGTCGTACCTATTGTTTGAGAGCTACTGTTAATTCCTTGATGGCCAAACTTTGGAAGGTGAAACGGAGATGGAAATCGGGTCTGCAACCCCCAGGTTGAAGGTAAAGAGCTCAATCCGATGTGCTACATCTTTCTATAAGAGAAGTAAAACATTTTGACTGAAGTTTGGAGATGCTAAATCGAAATATACCAAGAACTACGGCAATGTAATTCACCTTCTTTACGTAATAGTCATCATCAGATATAAACTTATTTCAAATACTGATGTAAAACTAACTACACCCTGCAGCTGCCAATAATATTGCATATTCGGAAACTAAGAGCTTTGCACATAGAGGGTATGCTGTTCCAATCACAGCCTGGAATTTTAAAAGGTGATGAATGACACACAGAAAGTCCATGTGTTAAATACAACGTGCTTATCAACTTTTACGCATTCCAGGTCCAATACAAACGGAAAATTTGCATACAATTGGTAAGTCTGAAAGGTGACTGTGATACGATAAGGCTTTGGGAGACTGTAACACAATTAACCTACTTCCACATTTTAACATTTCCCTTCAGCCTTATTAGAGACCAGGATATAACTTAATTCTGATGTTCCGGATTTATATTCTATTCCTACAAATTTGAAGTACTCTAGAGAACATAACAAAGTGGAACAAAAGCTCACGGAAAAAACAGCACTATGGAGTAAACCTTAAAACTTGGAATCAAACACTGAAGGACGTGATGTCGATGTGACCGGAGGAAACAAGAATAAACCTGTTAGAAAAACCTTAACACAACATAAAAAAACCTCTGTTCTTACAAGGAAAAAAAGCAATGTTAATTACATTGGGTGAAGCTGGAAGATAAAACTTATTCCAGAGGACTATTTTATCTACTTTTACAATTCTTTTGACGGTAGTTCATATTCGCTAACTACCAAGTAATAAGGCATAGAGAAGATATTACGAAAAAAGACCCGAAATCATACAAAATAAATGACGTACATAATCCTTGCTAACAACTCAGAATTCTATCATTTTAATATGTTTGCTACCCGGTGACTTTAACTGGCGGTTAGATGCCACAGTAAATCATCAGTTTCAAGGTATCAACTCTAGACGCGAGAGATCAAAAACTACTAGTTTTCTACGCTCGCACTATCAATATTGGATATTGGATATTGAACTCTTCCTGATACTAAGATAACCAAAACAAAGTAGCCTTCGACTTGTCGATAAAAAAAATCTTCAAAATAACCATTACGAGCTAAAACGTCTTGATCAGTTAAAATGGCAAGACTTTCGAGACTACCGAAGGAGTAAAACGGCATAAAAAGGACCGATGCTTAAAACCTAGAAGGTTAAGTTCAAAAAATACAAGTCTTCTCGACTCACCCTATTGATGTTGGATGCTGAGATATAAGTGTAAACACCCAATGAAACAGTATTTTTTACTAAACAACGTTTCTGACGAAATTTGTCCTACATATTTATCTCAAGTAACTCCATGACTTCGGTACATTATTTATATGGTCTTAATGGCGTCTCAAAGCTGTAGGACTACTTAATATAAATATGGACAATAAGTTAAGTCTGTCACACTACCTGGTAAACAGTACTATTTTATTGTGTGACAATTCTCATAAAGAACTAAACAGAATTGTAATCTACCACAACCCCGAAGTTTTACACTCATTTCAGTGTGAACACAGAATTCCGCTTATAGTGTTCTGTTGAAAAAGGATACAATATGAAAACAGTACATATTAGAAGTAGTATTTGCCAGTAGTAGTTATCCTGATATTTTGATAGGACTAGACCAATATTTTTCAGTTCTTCTACATTTTGAGGGAATTTAACATGCTCCCAGTGCTCCCTGTTGACTAAAATCAATGCACAATTTTAACTCACTCAGGCAGTGACGGCAAACGACGAGTTATAACAACAAGCAATGACACAAATCCCGCAAACGACAGACTGACAGCGAAAACAGACCTTAACTGCCTACCACTCTCGACCTTCATCTCCATTCCGCCTTTGTACGATCGCCTCTCAAAGACTATTTTAGCATACAAAAACAAAATAAAAGGCCCACCCAAGATCCAGTTTTTTAGTTTTGAGATTTAAGGGTAGGTGACTGAGCAGTCTTCATTAGTCCTTTCAGAAAAGGCCTCTGGGAAGATCCAGTGTCCTTTGGAGGCTTCAAGCTACGGAGGAGCTATTCTAGGCCCCAGTAAAAGGTTCCACTCTTTGACCATCCTGTAAGTTCGGGTGGCTAAAACTGGTTCAAGCGGTTGTTCACTGAAAAGAAGCTATCGCCCAACTGGCTTCTGAGTCCATAACCCGTCGATCACCGCTTCTTGTGGTTTTTAACCTGTGTAAAGGAAATGGAGCAAAAATGGCTGTTAGGATCTGAAAATCTAGTTAGTTCTGAACATGCCCCGCCTACATCCCAGGCAAGTATCAAGCATGCATCTAAGACTGAACAACCTGAATCGCTTCTGTAAGAAGAGTGTTCCGGGACCTAACTAATCTAACCTGCTACTTTCTAGGCTTACTATGTGTGTGTCCTCTAAGATTAGTGCTACTGAAAGTTAGAAGATAGAGACGAAGGAAGTAACGTTTGTTGCCAACGAGTGGGACAGTAGTAGTTAAATGTGATGCACTCTGCACCAGAACCGTCGTTTGCAAAATGTGCTTCATTTCCTCGTCTGCTTCTCTCTTGATTTGCTCTTCGTACGCTTGCATTGTCTCTTGTGTTTCTCTTGGCAGAATCCTTAGCCATTGCTGGTGATTCCTTTTGACTTCCGCCACCCTCTCAACCTACACTACTTACATCCATTCCTGTCTGCAACACCTGCTACACTCGTACCCCTGCCAAAATTTAGGGCCTGAAACCGTGTTGATCGTCTTGGTGCTATCCTCTCTTCGTGTTCATGCAATGTTTCGTCTTTTTCCCACCGCTTTCATTTTTGAAATGGGGTGACGTTTGCTCTTTTCTCGTAGTCCCTTTTTTGATGGTTAAAACTGAACCACGCCTCGTGGTAATGGTATATGGTCCTTCCCACTACGGAAGTAGTTTTCTTCTACCCTATCCACCTCTTGACGTTCATCCTCGTTCTTTACATTTGACCTCATCTCCGACCTCAAACAGTTTCCATTTGCCTCCTTCTGTCTGCTCAGACTTTTCGGCATCAGCTTTCTGTTTTCGTTTCACATTTCTGATTGCCTGTTTCCGTTCATTTCTCAGTCCGGTCATGTTCCATGGCTGTTGTCGGGACCAGGTCTCACTATGTATTGGGAGCAGCGGTTTCCTGTCATACACTAACTGGAACAACGACTTCTTCGTTGTTCTTTGCACAGAGGCACGATGCGCTAATAATATTAATGGCAGTTCGGTCTTCTAAGTTCCTCTTTTCGAAGCCAGCCACTGCTTAAGTTTACGGTTATTTCGTTCTGTCAAACCGTTAGCCTGCGGGGGTGGGGTGCCATTCTTATCCCCTTGATATCGGGCTGTTTCAAACAGGATTTGAGTTCCTCCCTCTCCAAACAGGGACCTTGGCCGGCCAATATCGTTTTCGGCGCACCGTGATCTGCGACGATAGGCCACATCACCGCTGCGGTCACTGCCTTCGCGCGTTGGTCAGAAACTGTGACAGCGTCTACGCATCGTGTAACACGCTCCGCCATCACCAAGAGGTATTGGTTGCCACTAGATGTCCCATGACGTCCACAGGCCACAGGCCACCAATCGCCTCCACTGGAATCGGCTGAAGGGGGGGTCCAGCACACCTATCACCTTTCATCAGCTCGCAGTGAGGACAACCCACCGAGCGTCTGGCAACATCCCTCATACTTGGCCAGTTCGCACTTCGTCTGATAGGTTGGATGTCTATGAGACACCTGTATGAGCTAGCTGGTGGTATTCTTGTGTCATTTCGCCGCGTAGACATTTCGGAATCACTGCCAACCAGCTCCCGCCGTTTTCTCACCGTGTCAGCATTCCATAAGTATTGATCAGTAGGTGTTCTTTCTGCGTCAACAACATTCCCAACTTTTTATTTCTTAAAAGCGTTTGTTCCTCCGCTACTTCAATTACGGCTTTTATCACTTTTTTGAGTGTAGGGTCCGACTTCTTAAGGTGAATAAGTCTTAATGGGCCCGTTCCGTTGCGTGTACACCGTATGCTATCTCAGGTGGTTCATTTTCTTCATCTGATCTTGATAAGTCTGACAACCAGTTTTCTTTCTCTGCCACATGGCCAAGTGTGAAATCGAACTCGTTAAGTCATAAAGTCCAATGTGATAATCTTCTTCTGAAACCTGTCGCTGTCTCAGGCCACTGTAGAGGTTTATGACCACTTTCAATATGGAATCGTTGACCGAGGAGGTACGATCTCCATTTATCCAACACCCAAACTATCGTGAGACATTCCTTCTCAACCGTGGGGTATTCCGTACCGCAGGTGTGAGGACACGGCTAGTATGCTCCATTACTCCCTCAGTCTGTCACAGAACCGCGCCTACCCCACAATCACTTGAATCGGTGGACACGATGAATGACCTCCAGGGTATCGGTAGTTTTAAAGTCATCTCCAGGTCATTCAGGAGTTCCCTGATGTGATCAAACGTTTTCTGCCCCCCCACCATCCACATAAATCTGAAGCTGCCAAGTAGCTTGTGCAAAGGGGCTGCTATCTCGTTGAAATTTTTGAGGGACCGACTGTAGAATGGTGCTCTGCCTAAGAACCGTCATAGTTTCCTCTTGGAATTTGGCACTGGAATAGTTCCAGCCGCCAGAATTTTCTCAGGTAGTGATTTTGTTCCACCGTATCCAACTTTATGTCCCAGTAGTGTAACACTATTCTTGGCTACCTAAGATTTCACCTTACTGATGCGCAGTCCAGACTTGTCAACGCGTCTTAAAGGAGCTTCTAGGGGTCCTAGATGTTCCACATCCGTCTGACTGCACACCACCAGGTCATCACCACACACATCTACGTTCTCGAAGTTCTTCTGCAACAACATCACCAATTGTCTAAATGGTAATGGAGCACTTGCCAGACCAAAGGTATCTGCTTGAATTGGTACTGTTTCTTATCCACAGCAAAAGCTGTTTTCTTTTCACCGCCTTCTTTTATTGGTAGCTGCCAGTAGCCTGACCGGGGGCACAAAACTGTAAATGCTTTCGCATTCAGCAGACGACCCAGTGCTTCGACCACCGTCGGCATGGCACATGGCTTCAGTTGCGTTACGCTATTTAACTGTCGGAAAACAAAGCAGAATATACATATTCCACTGAACTTCCCCACTAAAAGCGCTGGCAAACTGTATGGGCTATCAGCCTCTTCAATAACTCCTTCGTCTAGCACTTCCAGAACCTGGTGCCCAACTTCTGCTTCCAAGTGGTGTGATACTCGCCGTGTTATAAATGGTGCCATTGTTCGGCTTGTCAGTGGGATTTCATGCTGAACCTTGTCACAGTATATGCAGGAGTCTCCACCTCCCTTGAACAGTCTGTCCTATTTCTTAACCAACTTCATGATGTTTGGCGCTTCTGTGTATGGTGCTTTTGACACCTTGATCTCCGCTACCTCTCTGTTTTCCTGCGTGGTGAACTACCCGTACTTTGTAGCAACTATTCCTGTTCTTGAGCTAATAGCTGAGACACTTCCCTCCCAAAATCAGCATCTAGGTCTGTCCGTAGTGGACGCGTGGTCACAATGAATGGAAATTTAATTTTCAGGTCCCCGATTTCGACGATGCAGTCTGATAAGCCGGCGATTTCTGATACATCTCCCCAACCGTGTGGACCGTTAGTGCGTATGGTCTTATGTTCTGAGGCTGACTTTTATCTGTCAGCGAGACCGCCGCTCCCATATCTACTGGACACATAATCCCCCGATCATTTATCCACATTCTAGCATACAAAAAACCTCGATCCATGGTTCCCACAATATCTAGTCTAGTCTGGCGAACAATCTTCTACCAAGCCTCCCTCGCAGCTTCGCGTACCATGCTGTCATACGTTGCTTTCACTGCACCCCCTAAGCAACGCGCCCAGCACCGGGAAATTTGCTCTTGAATCCAAGACACCCACCAGCTCCACGAACGACCCGAAGTCCCTTAGAAAAACCTTGACGTCTCCATCCCCGAATACCGCAGGCCACGAAATCCTCATCGCGTCAAGAGGTAGCGACACCAACTGAGATAAGTGAGAAGACAGACGCGAGGGAAGTAACGTTTATTGCCAACGAGTGGGACAGTAGTAGTTAAATGTGATGCACTCTGCACCAGAACCGTCGTTTGCAAAATGTGCTTCATTTCCTCGTCTGCTTCTCTCTTGATTTGCTCTTCGTACGCTTGCATTGTCTCTTGTGTTTCTCTTGGCAGAATCCTTAGCCATTGCTGGTGATTCCTTTTGACTTCCGCCACCCTCTCAACCTACACTACTTACATCCATTCCTGTCTGCAACGCACACTTCACTACAACTTAGAATCAGTAGGTGATCAAGTGGGTGTCCAGGGCTACTCAGGATGTTATGAGACAATTTCACGTCTCCTCCTAGTCGTCTTTATTGCAGGAGATATAGATTAGACTCAACCAGTCGTTCTTCATGTTTCAGACCTAAGCCCTCTAACAGATCCTGTCTATTGCCCCTGGATGCGTTGAGGACTTAATTTGTGCTTCTGCACAGAAGGAAAGAACACGACATTGGTGAGCTCTCAGTGTAAGCTTGTGAAGCTGTAAGAAACTTGATAAAAACAGCTATAACCTCATTGTCCATGAGTTCGCCGATGAAGTTTAGAATTTCAGTCCAATTCGTAGTTTATTTTACCACGGATTTCGAACCTGCTTGCAATCGAGTCCTAGATATTGAACCCTAGAAGAGGTTAGGAAATTTTGGGAGCCAACTTGTGACATGATCCACGAGAGTATCGCTCACTGTAAAGTCCTAAATGAAATTTTTCCATGGTCTTTTGGTTAGGCCTATTCTAGATTCTCCTAAAACATCTCGCTTTTAATTAGGAAGCAGATTGTCTGTTCCGTAATACTTCTTA